AAAAAAAAAAAAAAAAAAAAAAAAAAAAAAAAGAAAAAACAGAAAAAGGAAAAAAAATGAGACGGTTGCACATTTACCTTACGATTTTTCATCTGTTTGTATCATCGTTATCTTTATATATGTATATGTATGTACATGTATGTATATCGTACAAGTCATTTTTTTAATTAATCTAGATATAATATCACATACATCGTATTAGATGTCACGCACTATTAGAAAACAGTTTTCAAAATTGAGAAGCTTTAAAAAAAAAAAGAAGTTTATATATGATACTGCCATTTGTCGGGAATATTACGCGATAGCTCCGTTTTTGTTTCCTATCGTAACAGTGTGTGAAAGTAGCGAATCTATTTTCTAGATTTTCCTTCAGATATTTATATCCATCATTAATTATTAGACATTGATGTTACTCGTTACTTGGATTCTATGTACTTTTAAATACCATAATTGAACGCGCTTGTTACGAGGCGTTTCGCGTCGTGTAATTGGCGCGAGGTGGCGATACACATGATATATAAATTAGATTTGCAAATTTGCAGGACATTTTTTAAGTTCCTACGGTCGAAAGTATTATATCGATTTAGGATTTAGTTCGCATTACAAATATTTCCGTTCTTTCTGTTTCTTTTCTTTTTTTTAAATTCAATACCTTTAATAGGTAAACGTGATATCGTTACGATGATAATTTAAGCCCTAATTAGTTCTAACGTTTTGTAATTTCATTTTCACGACCTAAATATCGGTATATAATTTTGTTTACTTCATTGTTTCTTTCTGTGTCATTTGGAGGCAAAGAGTTTTATATAATATATATATTTTTGTTTAAATATTACTTATATTGTTAAGAAATATCATATAGTTTATTTTTCGAGAACTTACAAGTTTTTACAAAATAAAACGTAAACTTGCCATATTTGGTAGATGTTATATATATATATATTTATATATTTATATATATATATATAATATATATATATATAAAAATATATTATCCCTCGACATTATTCTGATATGCATTTATAACCACAGTATTATTCTTTCATCTGTATTATGAAACGCACGTGTCAATAGATTCTCTTTGAAATAGATGAGATTTAAACAAAAAAAAAAAAAAAAAAAACAAAAAAAAGTAATTTCTGACGAACTATATCATTGCTGGTCGATTCGTATATCTTTATAAAAAATTCAAAAAAAAAAAACTTACGAATTATCATACAGTTCATATATATATGCATCAAACATACGTTAATGTTCATTACGATTTTATACGATATCGTTGATAATCTTACAACTCAATTTCAATATTATACATATATATATATATATTGCGAGTGCGAAAGTTTGAAACAGATTATACATTTGAAGAACGAAAATTAGATAGAAATATCGCTAACTGGACTTTCAATAAAATATTTGAAATTTGTACAAGTTTCTTTTTTTTTTTTTTAAATTATTGGATGCAATAATTAATCACAGTGCTTCACACTGAGTTTTATAGTATCAGCTGACATACACACTTACAAAACATGTAAATTATTAAAAGAAACGGTATATTCTTTTTGATTTTCATTTTCCAATTTAATTTAATTTAATTTAATTTCCAGTTAAAGATATCTCAATTTAATTTAGATCTAACTGATCAAGCAGATCTCGACATGGAATTTTTTTTTAATTTCACAAACGCGAAATGACCCAAGAAACAATTTTCTATTGGAACAAACTCAATAAATTCAATAAACAAATAGAAAAATTTACCTAAAAGGATAATTACATACATTCACCTAAAGAAGACAGTCACATACATTTAATATATGTAAAAATTCTAAAAGATAACCAGTTATCGATATCTCTGTGTAGTTTTCGTTCTTAGCATCTGTAATTTGTTTTAAAGCTTCGTACTGGTTAGTTCGCTCCTTGTGCTATTGATAGTTGTTCCATTTGACATATCTAATACCTCTGCACCACTTTCTTTGACTGCTTTGGTCGTGCTGAATTCTTTCAAAATAGCGACGAGCTCGGCATCTGTATAAACCACGTGAATCGTTTCCTCAGAGAGCGATTGCACGCTCCGTAAGATTTCCTTCGAGGGTCGTAGCATTATCAAGCAATGATTCTTTTCCTTGAACTCTCTCATCACCGTATTTAATCCCTGTGAATGTTACGAGACTCGGTCAATTTCAACCAGACTAACGAATTGTGTTCAAATCTGTCCTAGATCTTACGTCTTTGAGCGATTGTTGAGCAATCGAGTTCTGTCTTTTTTTCTTTTTTCTTTTTCCTCTCTTTACCGTTGTAAAGTAAAATATTAAAAAAATAATAATAATAATAATAATAATCTACTACGCTATTTTCTCTGTAAACACGATTTAAAATAAAGAAAAGAAAGAAGAAGAAATATCTTTGTAACAAGGAGAAAGAGGAGGAAGGCTCGAAGAAGTAAAATCCAGGCCAAATTCGAAGTATGATTATTACACGTACACGCGCCGCAGTGAAATCAATTTTATCGATGTGCTTGCAGTCTAGAACGACAATTTTCGTGTTCTTGAAGGTTTTCAGTAATTTATGATGCTCGTTAGCTAAGTTCTCCAACAGGTATATCCTCAAGTAATCCACCGCTGGAAATAGCAGTCCGGCGCTGGGACGCACGAGGATGTAGTTCAACGTAGGAGCCTGCGGTGAAAAAAAAAAAAAAAAAGATTTGCGGCATATTTTTAAAAGAACAATAGTAAATCTCTTTATCAAAGTGTTTGTCGATCACTGTTATGTACTTACATTTCTGTATTCGATATATATTGTCGGCCTGGCGTTGAAATAAATTAATATTGCCAGATCAATTGCCACGCCTATTAAAATACCTAATTCGACACCGGCGAACAGGCATGCGAAGAATGTCGTACAAGTCGGAATTAGATCTCGTTCTGAAAGTTAGAACATTTGAAAAATGATTTACGACGACAATTAACATTCTTCGAATGAACTTTTTTTTTCATAGCATAGTGTAAGCTTTCATCTCCTTCATTGCAGGCGTAATGGTTGAATTCTTAATATTCTTTTAGAAGTTTTAGCTTACTTGAAAATAGTGTTAATCGATTTGGGATTTATCGGATTTAATGCAGTTCGATTGTTGTAGATAATTGTAAAGTTTTAGATTTTTCTAACTTAGATTGTTCAATCCAGTTCTTGGAAAATTTATATTGATTTTACTTTTACCTCATTAGGTCAAAGTTACAAGTTTTATAAAGATCAAGTTTTATATAATCTGTCATAATTTATTTTTTTTTTCGTGATAAAAATAAAATAATCGACAGAAAATTAATAAGATGAAATAACTGACAGAGGATTTGTAGTAATATATAAATATAATTCAATCAACACTTTCAATCACTTAAATTCCGAATGATTTCATATGCCTGCGAAATCAACCATTTCATTTGCAATAATTTAGCAATAATTTACAATTTTTATTAATTTTATTTATTATATAATTTATATGAATTTCTGGCTGGTTTTTATACTCACTGCTACATTTCCAAATCGGCCGTAAAATATTCACCTCGACCATGAATACCACCGCGCAAACTATTACGGAACTCAAGGTCGCTCTTGGAATGTAATAAAAGTACGGCGTGAGTAAGCTTAGAGCAAGGATAACTAGGATACCTGCAATTAAAAAAAAAAAAAAAGATTCCCGGTTTTTTTCCTTTTCATCTTATCGTTTCTCTTTATAATCGTGAAAATTTCGTAGTTACCTGTATAGATGCCACCCAAGGGCGTTCTCACGCCTGAAGTATTGTTCACTGCGCTTCTGGAAAATGAACCGGTGACTGGCATTGAATGGAAAAACGATCCAACAACGTTGCACAGGCCCAACGTTAACATCTCCTGAGTAGCATCGAGCGACTCTCCTCGTGCTTTCGTTAAAAATCTAATTAGCGTTCCGAAGGATAATAATCACAGTGAAGGACACAACTGAGCCAATAAATTTCTGCGCAAATCGTTCACATTGTCGTTAATATCAACATACATAGAAAACAGACATTACAAAAACATTTTGTACAATTAACGTTAATCTAAACGGATGATTTTCCATAGTTGCAAATGTTTTTTTGGCTGTCTGTAACGAAGAATGTTAGACGATTCAGTAGTATTTTGTATTGTAAAAAAGTTTCATTGATATTAGCTCGTTGTATCAAATGAATATTATAAATAATAGATTAGTATGCGCATAAAGATATTTTACGGAATGATTGATTAGATACAGTTGAGAGTATACTGTCTTTTGACGAAACTGTTAGAATGATGTTAAACGTCGTTTTATACAATCAAATTGCATATAATTTTTTGAAAACATCACACGTTGAAATCAGACAATTTTCTCACATCATTTGATAGATTTTTTTTTTTTTAGTTTGTTTCAGTATTCCAAATTAAAACGAAAAATATAAAACAAATTGCAAATGTTCATTGGTATTGATTCTTGAGTTTGAAGAGATTCTTGAGTAAGAAGAGAACTGAAGAAATTCACGAATGAAATTCATTCTGATTATTGTGCAATTCTTGTACGTGCAAAATACGTCAAAATAGCAAAGCTATCTTAGAAGTTACAAGATCATGCAATAAATACTAGCAAGTTATTAAAGCTGAAGAATGTATAAATATGCAAATGTGAAAATATAGATACATATGTATAAATTAAATTGTGAGAAAAGTAACTGAATCAATGGCAATTAAGAAAACATTTGCGACGTTAAAAAATTGTTTGTATTAGTTATTTTAATTTTCCAAAATGTTTCTGTACTAATTCTTTATATAATAGATTCAATTACTTAAAATATTTCTACATTAATTCATACATTTATACATTTATACATTAATTTACCTTACATATGTCAGTTTTAATTGGCTAATGTTTCTGTTGTTTTTGTTTCTATTTATACAATCTTTTTATTTTATTATTTTACTTGAATGTTTGTAAACTTGTGTGAAATACTATTTTTTTAAAATTTCTATTTTTATGTGTATGTATATAATATGTATAAAATCCGTAAGATTTGCGCAACGCAACAAACATAATTCAATCGACGGATGTGGATCTCAATTTATACAACACCTATCATTGCTTCAGTTATGCTCCTCAACTGCGTTCACCAAAAGATTAAAATCATTTGACAACTTACAAAATGCCTTCGCAATGGCGACATTGCCAATAATCGAGATCAACGGAACAATGATGATACCGGTGCCTAAATTTTTGCACATATCGACGAACGTTTCCGTCTGGTTTCCAACATTCCTGGAGAAAGATGGTGGATCGACGGAGGGTAGCCCAGAATCGATATGACCTGTGAGGATGAAAGGTGCCCCACCGCGATTTTCGAAGATGTACGACGCTACAGCACACAGAATTACCACGAGGGCGTTCCTACCAGTTCCAAGGAACCAGATCAATTTTTTCAAAGTCCGGCTCGAGACGTTGGCATCTTTGAGTTTCTGGAACGAGAAGGAAATAAAGATAAGAAAAACAAAGAAACGAAGCTGCGCGGGTACGTACAAGTACGTATGTTTCCTTTTCTTTTTTCTTTTTTTTTTTTTTTTCGTCGCTCGTCGCTCGTCGATCTCGTTCTCTTCCTTCTTTTGCGTATTCACTGCGCGTGAGAACTCGTTTTGCTCGGTATTATATAAATTACCTTCAGGGTCAATAGAATTAGAACGCAGCAGCAAGACAAGATCAGGTCAGGGATTCTAGTTCGGTGGACGTTGTTGATCAATTCCCGCCAAATTTCGATGAAACTCTCCCCGTGTATCTTCAAGCCTAGCAAACTCTTGATTTGACTGCAGGCGATAATTAGACTGGCCGCCGACGTGAATCCCGAGACGACTGGTATGGAAACAAACTCGACGAGAAAACCCAATCGGAGGATTCCCAGCACTATCGTGATGCTTCCTGACAAAAAACACAGGAGGATTGCGTACTCGGGAATACCTCTGAAACACAATGAAAGGGAGAAGTTAAGTGTTTGAAGACACATGGAAAGCTACACCAATTCTTAGAGATTTTGATTTAAAAGAAAAAAGAAAGGAACTTTATTTGATATGTTTGACTTTTTGCTTGATTTTGTATTTTAATAGCGAGTATAGACAAGAGGGTACAGTGAGTAAACAATCTTCATTCTATTATTTTCTGCACGAGTGGTACAAAGTATAACTTTGCAGTGGCTTACATAAAAGAGGTATAACATTCTTTTGATATTAATTATAGAATTTTCAAGCTTCTTGATTTATTTTTTGCATTGACTTTTAATTGGCGCCATTGGATACTTAAAACTTATATTTTACATTACTTCAATTTTTATTTGATTTAATTTAAGAGAAATATAAAATATTACACAAAATTCGAATTACTATTTATGATCTTACAATATCATTTAAGGGTTAAATTTATTTCATTGTAATCAGTTACTACCAGGGATCGAATATGAAAACTGTTAAAATTCTCAATTAATTATGAAATAACTGTAATTTTATGACTATTGTCTTTATCAGAAAACTGTTATAAAATGCAACGCATTAACTAAAACTTCTATTCCATACATTTTTGTGCAAATAAGAAACTTTTATTTTCTTGGCAGTAGAAAAAAAAGTTCTAGTTCAACAGGAATATTTATTCTGAGAAAGATCTGATCAAATAGATATAAAATTAAAATCTTGAATCAAACCTTGGTGAAAACAAATCTGAAAAAATTCAAATGTAAATGTATCAGAATGGATTAATAAAAGTGATAATCGTTTCTAATTGTAAATTAGTTAACTAATCAGCAGTTTATGTTGCCAAGGTACAAATTGGTGTTTTAAAATTTATTCTCAGCAATCTCATTAATGAAAATAATTTGAAAAACATATTAATACTCCGAACTCTAAGTGAGTATAAGGTTTTTTATCCCTTTTATTTTTTCTCTTAATAAAATAAAAAAAAAAAAGAATTATATAAAACTCACAATGTAGTCCTATATTTTTTCTACATTTACTCTTTTATCATGCTTTTAATTCCTTGAACAATACTAATTATGTTTTATCCTTAAATATCTAATACAAATAACTATTAACTGAACTCTTGCAAGAGGATTAAATGTACAAAGCTAGCTCAAGACAGAAAAGACACGTAAAATTTAAAAGTCCAATGAACAAAGAGTTATTTATGAGTTGACAGTTTCTATTCGACCTCCTGTTACTATTAATAGAGATTAATAGAGATTATCGAAATCAGGGCAGATCGTGAACGAGCCCATCGTACAATCTAAGTCTCGCTAAGATGCAAATGGGTTAATGGTTACAAATATTGTTCACGATAATTGCGTTTCAAAAGATAACAGTATCTTTTCAGTCGCTGTTGAATTATATGATAGTTCCAATTGTACACCAATCGTACACGAGAGTTCAGCCATTGTGTCGATTTAAGATTGCTCATTCATAAATTAAGTTTAAAAGGGTTCGCGAAGAACGTGGACAGCTTACCTCGCGTACGTGTACGTTAGCAAAGAGATCAATGCAGTCGGGCCGATATTCACTTCTCGACAGGTACCAAAAATTATGTAGACGAAACTGCCAGCGAACGCACTGTAAAGGCCATACTGCGGTGTTAAACCTGCCAATCCAGCGTACGCGATTGCCTGAAATCATAGTTGGACCAAACTCACGTTTCGTCGAATCGATATCTAACTCTCATTCGTCCCTATTGTTAATTTGACACATTTCTCTTGTAACAGATTGAATGAAAAGTTCATGCATATATTCTTTTTTTTTTTTTTAATGGGTGGAATATTTCTGTAGTCTATGTAATTTTTACTTGTTTGCTTAACTCTCCAATCGAGGAAATTATTATAGTAAATTAAATTTTTGTCAGGCTACGAAAATCTAATTTTATATTTTTTTTTTTTGTGATAGAAATTAAATGAAATTAAAAATTCCAAAAGTAAGCAACACTTGCAAAAGTAAGTAGATATAAATTTTAATTGCTTCCAGTATCCAATGATGCCAGTTAAGAGTTAATTTTAATTATTACTCTATCTCTTTTCATCATTGTTAAAAATGATTACTGACATATACTGTAGAATTCACACTTGTCAAAAGTGATTCTGAAAAATTGACTTGATAGGTGTGTCGAGTGAAAATTGAAAACAAGGTACGAAATTGAAAATTCACACTGAGAGTAAAGCAACTTCGCACTTCAGAATTTTTCATAAATGCATAAAAATCTGCAGTTCAATCATAAATGTTGAAAGTACCTGTGGTATTAGGGTCAGACCCACTGTCAATCCCGCAACTAGATCACCCAATGCATCTTTCGTTTTGTACAGAGGTAACCATTTCAGAACAGGGATTCTGTTCTTCAACAATTTCTTAAAACTGAATCCAGTCATGTCATTAAGAATTTTCTTCACCTTGATCAACCTTCCTTCTTTGACCTTTCAGCCGAACTATTTCAAATTTGGAAGTCGAGAAATGTTCTTCAACAATCTTTTAAAGTCGAATCCTGTCATGTCATTAGAGATTTTTCTTCACTTTAACAAACTTCTCTCCCTCCTCGAGTTTCAGAACACGTTTGTAATAATGATTACAACGTGAGAATAAAAATTTCAGCACTATAGAAAAATATACTTTTCAACTTGACGAACTCTTCAAACAAGCTTCAACGAAACACTTCAAGTCTCAGTTGATTTATAACAATAATAATAATATTCCAGCACTAACAATTTTTCTCAGTTTACACTTCAAGTTTCAATGCATTAATAATAACAATAATTATAATAATACTCCAGCACTATTTCTCACAAAATTTCACCTTCAAACTTCAAGTTTCAATTCATTTATAACAGTGATTTCAAAATATATTAGCAACATATATGTATTATTATTTTAATGTTCCGCGTTAAAAAATTTCCTTCAATTTAATTAACTTCCCTTCGACTTCAAACAAACGTCATTTACAAGCAAACGTTCGTAACAATCATGCAACATAATTTATAAACCGGAAAGTACAGCGCGCTTGAGTGACTCGAGTTGAATGGTAGACCTTGGAAGAACTTCGATTTCGAGTTTCGATCGGCACTTCGGTCATACTCCATCGGCGTGTCTTCTTACTATGCGAGCTGCATCGTTTCATTAACCAAACGCGAGCCTCCTTTCAATTCAATGGCAATGAAATAGTGCCGGCAATTAACGATTCAGCGAGCGACAATTAGCAAGTATAGCATACGCTTGGGAGAACGCTTCGGGTGATTTACAGTCACCTGATCGATGCTTACGTGAAAACGTTTAAGCATGTGATTCCCCAGTTTTCGCGAGCGCGCGATGCCTGACGATCACTGTTTCACTGCACCGTTCACCATGAGCTTTCATTCCACGGTTTCACTTTCCTCTGTCACCGAGAGAGCATCGCGACCAATGGTTCCCCATGAAACTGTAATTTAAATCGATGAAATTGAATAATTTGAAACTAATGTTCTATAGCCTAGAATTATAATCTAGATTAATCTAAATGATATAAATATAAAATTCAAATATTTTAGATCTATAATTTAATATAAAATCGTAGCAATTAATGTAAACTAGATAAATGATCTAACACTGTAAATGAAACTGAATGATCTAGACAGTTGTTAAAATTAAACAATTTAAAATCAAAAAGGAAGCTCGATTTCGATCAAAGGAACAGAAGAAATCCACCGATCGATGTATCGTCTCGTACCTGTTCTACACACTGATTAAATCTGTTACAGCTGTTTCACACGTGGTTGGCTCTCCCACCATTCGTTTCGCTCGAACCTGCCGACACTGGGTTCGTCAAACGCAGTTTATCGCCAATTTACCAAACAAACGTTGGGCGTTTTTTCCATCGACTCGTATCCGGATCTCTTGGCATTCTTCTCAATTTCCTGTTGGTCTGTCTGCGCTCCATTGAACATCTGATTTTTTTGTTTTGTTTCTTGAACTAGCCCTTTTCGCACTCTGTCCCTTTATAATTCATTCCTAGATTGATACAAAATCGTTCTAACTAGTTCTGACTGTTTAATATAGTTATAGAGATATTTTAGTTATAGTTTGTATTTTAGTTGTAGTTGTATAGTTTGTCTGTTAGTATAGTTATAGTTTTAGAAGACACTATAGTGTAGAGAAAATTTTGTTAGTTTGACTATCAATATCAGTAGATTTTGATATTCTATATTAACAAGAATAATTTATACAAACTTTACTATTATATTTATGTAAGAATAATTTATACAGACTTACTATTACACTAATTGCACTCACGTGTCGTTTTTCTTTTAAATGAAATTTCTTGTATTTTGTTTATACGATTGTTTACACTCATAACATGATGTACCTGCATAAATATGGAAAAATAATGCAAAGTCGTAATAATGTTACACCATTCATCGATTTTTAGCAGTTAAATCTTACATTCATTTGCACTATCTAAGATTTATATAATATTTTGTTAATATTTATAATTCATAATTCATAACTTATTTATTCATTCATATAAAAATATATTCATATATAAAAATTTATAATTTGTTCATTTGTTTATGTATTAAGATTCATAATTAGTCAATTTGCCTGGACTATGTAAATTTGTAATTTATTGATTTATTTATATACTTCAATTTACAATTTATTCATTTAATTATATATAGAAATTTATAATTTATTTATCAAGATTCATCATTTATTTATTAAGATTCACAATTTACTTACTTATTTATTACATAATTTATTCATCACAGAATCGCAATGACGTGGTGTAACATTTTCAATTCGTCTTACACAACTAGTATAATACACCAAAAAACTCAACAAAGATCATGGCTAAAAACGACAGAAACGATCAAGACACTCCATATCACAGTTCACAATTAAACGTCCAACGTAATAAGACGATAGTTCATTCTTCCGTGAAAAATACCGGCACCAGTTCAACCAGAGACAAGCGGAATTGTTACAAGAAACAATTACAACCATCGTAAAACGTTCAATTGTTTCAACAGGTGATTCTTACTGTGAAATGTGTCAATTATTTCAACAGCAGATACGTTCCATTTCTTCACGATTCTTTTCTTATTATCTTTCTTGCTGGAATCCTTTTTACCCAGTGTGTTTCTTGTTTCGAGAGAATGGTTGTTGAGACAAGCTCTTGTCGTTGGAATACCGTGTTCATGCCTATAATTACAAGGACGTTACGTGATCTTGAACGACGATGTGTTTTAAATGTTAATGCGACTCGCGTAACGATGAATCTACGAAAGTGAAGCAGAATTTAGTAACAGAATCATTTTATGAGCGGAACGTGTCGTGAAATTTCTCTCTAGTTCTGAATTACAGATTTCTGCGGTCCCTGACCATTGGATTTGGCTCATTCACGATTTTCTACGTTTTATATGATTTTGTTATAATTAAATTTAATTTGCAAGTTTTGTTAGCTAATTAATATTGTTATAATACATTAATTTGTAATATCATTAATCACAATTATCATTTTATTAAATTTACATTTTACGTATTTTGTATAGTTAATAATATCATTATCATTATCAATGATAATATAAATTTTCGACGTAGAAATGCGCATGATGAGTGAACAAAATAGAATTTTCATTCTAAATTTAAATTCTAAATAAAATAAATTTTTATTCAGGTTGTTTTTCTTTAGCTGTGTTCATGAAAATTCAAAAATGCATGAAAAATACACTATTGAGTATTTTTTTTTGCAATAGAGATAGAATTATCATACATAATAAGCAGTTGAGAAACGAGTGCATATCTATTTGGATCGTTAAAAATGTTATTATTGGCCTAGTATTGTATAAGAAAGAATATTAAGAATAAAAAGAGGCATGATAAAACACTGTTTAAAAGTTTGTAAAATATTGAAAATTGTGAGAGAAATTCAATGAATGTAACGCAACACGTTCCCACATTCGAGATCTGTTTTTAAAAAATTAGATTGTAGAATAATGCTTTATATTCGAAAAAAAAATAAAATTTGAGAAAGAATAATTCTTTATACTATCGTATTATACTAATTATATACTGTATACTATATATTATAATTATAATTTATAATATTATATTATACATATTAAACAATTACAATAATCGATCTGCTATTGCAAACTTTACAATACTTTAAAAAAGAGATCATACAAGTGATACAAAATGAACATACAAGTTTAACTATTACTGAATTAATACGAAAGATTTCTATTGATTGATTTCGTACATTGGTTTTAAAAAACAGACCAACAGATTACGAAGTTTAGTAGTTGAATAAATAAAAAGAAATAGATATGTTGTTTCTGCTTAGTATCTTGAAACTGTAATTATTATAGTTGGTAATGACTAATATTTATCGTCCTCCATCGACGAAGGAAATAATTTCGCCTGCACTTGTGAATGTTACGAAATTGCAGTGTGACATCAGGATATGTTTGTAAAATACAAATGTTGAAACAGCTACAAGACTATTCTTAAGTCTTAGTAGGTAATATATCAATTGTCATTGAACACTTTATTGAAAAAGACATGAAAAAATTATGAATTATTCCCTTAAGCATGTTTGAGAATTTAGATACACATATGTCAGCCTTGAAATAGAAATCAATGACGTGTTATTAATTTTTACCAACGTGTTTTTTCTGATAAAACACGTTCTCATTAATATACGTCCGTTCTGAATTTCAAGTCAGATAATAGTTTTAAAAATGAAACGTACGTTAAAAATGTTACGTTAAAAAAATAAAAACGTTAAAAATGAAACGAGATACGTACATGATGACTAATGATTGAAATTTGAATTTAAAATTAGCTCTTCAATCAAGGTATTTGTAAAGAAGATAAATTGAGATCGTCTTTAAAAATTGAATAAAAAGGTCGAATTAATATAGTTAAAAATTATGTTGCATACATATTTAATAACAATAGTAATAATATATAACGTATATTAATGACAATATTTATTATAATGTGTTAAATATATATATTATAGCTTTATATATTAAGTAACATATAATTATATTATAATATAAAGAGAGAAATTTATAATTTATTACATTTGAGTTTGATTCTATCTTGCATTATCATTTAATAATATAACGCATCTTGGAAACTTTTAATTTCTTTCTCTTTTATACCTATTCACTTGCTATTAGTGTTTCAGGTTGTACTTATATTCCTTGTTATTTGCAGGAAAAATCACACATTCTAAAATTATCTATGCTTCATCATCTACAGTTAAAAACATGTAAATCCAGGAGACCATCAAGATCTTAGCAAATGTATGTTTTATAATTAATAGAAATATGCTTTATAATTTGCCTATAATTTTGTTTTCAAACAAATTTCATAAAACATCCACTATTTCTGACAATGCAACATTGTCAAAGATAAGAAATTAAATTTATTATTTTTTGAAGTTTATTTTGATTTTGTTCAGATCAGTTTGTCTCTTGTATTAATATTTGTTTGATACATTTTATTCTTCGAGTTTCTTTACATAGATAAAATTCTAACGAAATGAAATTGAAATTGTGGAAATATTATAATACTTTTTGACTATTAGATGTAAGTATTCCTGATCTACTCATAGATTGTAATGTATTGTAATGCTTTTGCTTTCGTATTTTTGTTTTTCTATTACTTTTTAATATTGTTTCTAATAACATATGTTTATATGATATTTTTTTCTTGTTTATATCTATAAAATATACGTTATATCTATATAAATGTAAGATCATGAACATATACAATATACAATATACGATAATTATATACATATGATATATAGAATATTATTTTTATATATATATAACAATATGTACAACATAGATGAAATGTCATTTATAGCACAGACGAGGTATATGAATAACTCTAACATGCAATGTATTCTTTTGCTCCACGTGGGGTCCTAGGATCCCATTACCATTTTCGTGTCACAATCTGCCATACCGATTTAGGCAAATTTTGCACCACAGCGCAACTAGTGATGGAAATTAAAATCAAAAAATATAAACAGTGGTGCCACATCTGTTTCAAGAATTATTTACTGAATTGAACATAGTGATATTTTATCAATAAAAGAATATAATTGATATTTCATCATAAGAAGAATATAAATTTATTGTATACTTAATACATCTATTTAAAAGCATTAGAAAAAAATGATTCAAAATATAATATTTCTATGAATAACATAACATAATGAGATATAAATTAATTACCTCGTCTGTGTCTCATCTATGGCGCCATTAAAATGGTAACGTACAATTATCGACCTGTAAAAAATCAAAATATTTCTTACACTCTCCACGAGATTTGGAATGAACATAAAAATTATATGCAATTTTATTGTCAGAAACAACAGAGAAAGAACATTTTTCTTATAATGAAATAGTTAATTGAATCGACAATAACATATAAAGAAAAAATTTTATTAAATATAATGGAAATTTGAAGAGTAACATCACATTTAGTTATAAAGTATTACTTCATTATGTTATATTTGTAAGTTACTTCAAAATTTATTACTTATTAAATATTAAGACTTACGTGCGTTTGATTTACAACAGAGTTTTTTATTTTTTATTCCAAGTTAACAGTTCGTACGGAACGAGCGACTACAGCGCCACAACGGTGAATTATGCAATATACTTCCTGCGATTCTCGAATACATCGATATTTCTCACAATCGATCTTTACGCGGGAGGAATGGCGGAAGGATGCACACCTCGTCTGCAAGGAATAAAGTCCAGAAAATCATCCAAACAGAAGTATGATCCAGAAATTCTCAGGTAAAAGCCTAAAACAATAGTTGTTAGATTTATGTTAGTGTTTTGAAATTTTGAGTTGCATTTTTGGCTTCAACTCAGGATTGTACATATAATATAACCCAACAATTATACATATAATTTTCAACAATTAAAGAAATAATAGCATATAAACATTTAAATAGAACATACTGTGCTAAAAGTTATTTATAATTTTATACCAAAGTTTCATTTCAATTTCTTATTAGTATAAATATTTCATTGTATATGTACGTATTTTATTACATGCTTTTACACCCACATTTCTGGTATAACCTACTTATTTGTTGATTCTTTAACTTCATACTGCATAATTCTGAACAATTTTAATATTAAATTCAGCAATAATTTATTAAGAATGTATGTATGTATTTAATAGTTAAAATAATAATTTTACTGCGTAATATAATAAAATTTCCCATTCCTCAGTTTAACGTATTGACAATTTTTCATCTAGTATATGAATATTTTCGTTCTTTTTTAAGACTTTCTCATGAATTTTGTATATTTGATTTAGGCCAGACTTCTTTATTTTTTATTCCCAGTTAATATTTCACGATTGCAGCGCCCTAGCGGTGAAATACGCAACATACTTCCTGCAATTCTCGAATATATCGATATTTCTCACGATCGATCTTTAAGCGGGAGAGCATCTTTAATGGCGGAAGAAAGCACGGTTTGTGTGTAAAGAACAAGTGATATCCAGAAGAATTATGCAGAAAGAAGTAACACCCAAAAGTTCTCAGGTAAAAATACAAATCAATAGTTGTTAGATTTGCGTTTGTATTGTGAATTTTTAAGTTAAAACGTGCATTTTTGTTTCAAATCAGGGTAAGATTTAACCTAATAATTGTTACATATAATTTTCAACATTTAGAGAAATAATGGTATATAAACATTTAAACAGAATATATCACGCTAAATGTTATTTATAATTTTATACCAAAATTTACTTTCAGTTCTAACAGTACAAATATTGTGATCTTGTAATATGACTATATACATATATATATATATATATATATATATATATATATATATAATATGCTTTTACTTCTATTATGTAACATTTTCTATTTATTTGTTGATTCTTTAACTTTATACTGCGTAATTCTTAACAATTCTAATAATTATATTAACAATAACTTATTAAGAATGTACGTATTTAATAGTTAAAATAATAATTTTTACTGCGTAATGTAATGAAATTGTTCAGTTCTTAAATAAAGTAAAACGTAAAAGGCCACAACACGAACACAATGTTTATATTCGTCTTACTTATCATGCCTGTTCGGATAGGATCATCTCATCCCCTACTATTTTTTTCAATTGTAGGACGAGATGTCGTGGGGAGTCATTCGGCTGTGGAATTTCGTGACAACAACACGTGTTACGTTGCATTAGGTTTGTAACTTTTTCTAATCTATCAGTGGCGTTCTTTCGATGGCGTCGTTTCTTCAATACTCTTTTATTTCCATTTATACTTCATTCGTAGTATCATTTAATTAATATGTGTGTTGTTCTGACTTTTGATTTCTTTTTGTGTAGTTATTCCTTGATTGCAAAGAATACATAAATGCCACGATGATTAATGGACAATCTGATGAACTTTCACGGAATGTTGGTAACATTTTATTCATTTTGGGTAACATTTGATACACAATTTGTACGTATTTGATATACAATTCACAATACGTGATTTCGTAATTATTTTCATAAATATTCAGAATACAATTTATACAAATAAGTATTTCTGTAAATATTGAGAAATATTTTATAATTTCTAATTAACATCTTTAATACATGCTCAAATCTCTTTATAATCATTTTCTAGAAAAATAGCAGTATTTTCTAAATGAACGTACTCTGCCCTCCCCCTACTAATCAGCTTTATTTTCAGAAAATTTTTATGACCGCGCGCAATGCGGTCGGCAGAGTCAGTGCTCATCTTGCGAAATATTTTTTTTATATTTTTCTGAATGGCTTTTGTTAAATTTAATTATTTCATTTAATTAATTCATTCAAATTATAATTTGCGAAGTTAGAGTCAGTGAGTTCGCCGATTATTACTTTAACGCGCGCGTTGATGGTCTTTTATTTTTCTTTCTTCAAATTTTTCTTGTTCAATACTCGTTTTCGGTATTAGAGTCAGTGCTCAAGAGGATAAGGCCTCTCCAGGAGATCAAGATCGTAAGTAGTTTTATATATTGTACTTCAATTAATTATTCAATTTTTCAAATTTGACAACAAAGTATAATGTTTGACGTTTTGTTACAGACACTTCACATCAGTATTAATTTTTTGGGGAAAAATCCAACGATGGCTCTAAAGCCAAGAATGTAAGAATCTTTCATTATCTTAAGATTTTGCTTTGCTTTTAAACATAAATTTTAATGTTTAATATTTTGTTATAGATTTTCTACACTCTCCACTTCCCCTAATCTTCTTATGATGCTTCAAAAGCTAAATATGTAAGTATTCAGCTTATTGTATTTAAATTCTATTCTTTGTAGTTTCTATTGAAGTCGAATGTAAAATTATAATTATGAAATAAAAATATCTCAAATTATTAGTCCCAATTTTTGTCATTATAAAAATTTAAATTTTCACAAATAACACTGTGTCTTTAGAAACAAAATGTTTTATATTTTTCAGGAAAGTTTTCACGGCGTTTACTTCTGTCATGGGATTCTCAGTGACTTGAAGAGGATCTTCACGATAACTTTCCCTGCTCCAGTGCAGCATTGATGATAACATTCTTCACATCTATCCCGTGAGTCGCATGCGTTTATGTTCCTCCGGTCACTCAATCATGTCGTAGGACGAAAGGTCCGAATCGACACGGGTGACTGGTTGTATACGTAGAATTTTTGATGAGCATAGTGACCGCGGGTATTTTTTATACCCGTGAGTAGTAACATTTTTTCAAGATTTTTGTGTATTAGATTAGGATAGGGCTTCTTGCACATCGCGATTTTAACAAATAGTTTAAATATATATTTCTTATATAGTTTAAATATAATAATTATAATAATTACTTATAAAATCAAAATATCTTTTATATAAATGTTTGCAAAAGTAAAATATTCATATGAATATATATATAAATAGATAAATAGTATCTATTATCTTCATAGTAGAGAAGACGGATATCCTCCGACTTCGTTGCTATGAAAGATGCAGTTATTACTTATTGATATCTGTAATATATTTTGTTATAGTAATTAATAATTATTATAATAATTTCCAATTTAATTTTCTCTTTTATAATAGTATTATTTGATTGAATTGATTAAGTTTTATAATTATGAACTTTAGCAGAACTTGAAATATACCAGATTAGATTTTTTTCCGTAAAAAGATGTATAAAATTTTATGTGCAAGAAGATACTTCGCGACAGGTAGATTTTTGAATCAAAGCAACAAGTTGATCACTGCTTTCGCATTTTCGTAAATGTGCTTTGATGAAGAAATCGCCTGAGATTATTTCTATTAATATTTAATTTGGAATCAATTGTTTGATTTTGATTGTTTGAGTCAATTATTAAACTGTTCGTAATATCTTTTTTAACAAATTCAAGTCTTGTTCATTATGTTTATTTTCTTGAATTTTCAATAATTTCTGAAAGAGTCATTACAGTTTGAAATAAAATAATGCAATAGTCCGTTAAATACTAATTACATGAACTAATTATTTTTTTTAGTTCAGGATTTTCAGGTTTAATCCCTTCCGTGTTCATTGTCAGGATCTCACTCACGTGCCCAGGTGCTGCTTGGGTGGGTGAAAGACATTGAGCACGATGACCATAGTCTGTAATTTTATAAAAAGTTTCTCAGCAACTGACAATGTGTTAGCGTATCGTGCACGACGTATTTTCCGCATGTGTGTGTTTGGTTAGGATGTGGAATTGCGTCGTTTTTATTGTTCCATTCATTATAAGTTGAAATATTTAAAATATTTAAGCACTAATTTAAAGAATTATAAATTTATTATCATAATACGTAATAAATACACTATAATTATATTATTATTACTATAACTATATTATTAATTATAATAATGATGCTATATCAACTTGCACATGTAATTTCTATAAAAATTATGTGTATATCTTTTCTCAGTTATTAATATTTCATATACAGCTGTAAATATAAACGTGTTAATCACGTTTTACGCAATGTTCGCTAGCCATTGTCAGTTGATTTCAGGAAAATGGTACGTAAATTAGAGTATGAATGTTGTGTGCTAAACTCGGGTGTCGGAGGTGTCCCGGGACGTCCTCTCTAGTTTAGGCTGCGCCCGGGTAGTATGTGTGAGAACCGTGGAGTGAGTGTGTTGGTGTGTCTGTTCTTTTGTCATCTTTTAAATATAGGGGCCCTGGATAGGATAGGTAGCTTGCTTTCTGGTATGCCTGTGTTTAATTATAAGTAGGTAGGGCCGGGCAGGTTGGCACAGTCTCTGGTCGCGTGTCCCTTTTTCGCGTGTCCAACCTGTTTCTGGAAATCTAATTTGAAAAATCGACAGTGAAATTGGTACAAATTGAGCATGCCATTTGTTTTACTCTTCGATTTTTCGAATTTAGTATCGCGGTCGCGGTCGTGGATAGGTCGCGAGTAGGTCCCGAAACGAACGTTTATGCAGGTATTGCTCGAGCAAGCACGTGCGAACGAACAACGATCACTATGATCGATGATCGTCCATGTGTACTGGAGTCAGCTTCCGCGGTTTATCTTTTTATTTCATCTTTATAAGTTATTTTTTGGTTTGCGATTAGAAAGACTCGAGCTTAGATTTAAGTTTCAGCGGGCATCGCGCCCGAAGAAANACGCACGTGCGAACGAACAACGATCACTATGATCGATGATCGTCCATGTGTACTGGAGTCAGCTTCCGCGGTTTATCTTTTTATTTCACCTTTATAAGTTATTTTTTGGTTTGCGATTAGAAAGACTCGAGCTTAGATTTAAGTTTCAGCGGGCATCGCGCCCGAAGAAAAGAAGAGGCCCGGCAAACTGCCACGAAGAGGGTCGCAACAAATGGTTTCTCATCCTCTGGATTATTTAAATGACTCCAGAGCATGGGAAGTCATTCTCGTTACTACTTTGTCACTATGCTCTTTTAGTATTTGTAGTTGTATTTTTTTTCTTCTCCATCATCATTTATCTTTTTTTTTGGGCAAATCGCGTTTTTTCTTGTTAGTATTGCGAAAGATTGATTACGGGTTGAATTAGATTTGCGAAGAAACGATAATCGTGTTTGCTTTAGGGTTGCGAATTATGATACCGCGATTGTTTTTTGCTTGTTTCTGATTGTTAATTTTCATAGTTGTCTCAGTGTTGTGTCAGTTTATCTTGTTTCCTGTTGTCTCAAATTATTATTATAGAATCATTGTTTTTCATTTTAGAAAGCTAGAATATCCAAAGTAGTTACTTTTTCGTAACTTTTGTATTGTTAATAATAATTTTCTTTAATTAAATTTAATTTAGCTTTGGAGTTAGTGTAGTGTTGCGACATTATTTCATCGCGATTTCTAATTACTTTTACTCTTAGTGTTGCGATAATGAATAATCGCGTTTCTTGAAATAGCGTTGCGTTTACAAATTGCCCAAATTCTTCCACTGTATTCGTGGAAGGCTTTTCTTGCTCCTGGATCACCTGATGCAGCTACAAGAGCTGTAGAAAGGTGATCATTCATCAACAACCTCCAGTATGGTTGCGCTGGACGTACATAATTATTAGTGTTGCGTATTTCTAAATATGAGTGCATAGATTAATAGCGCTGCGTACTTACTTTCGGGAGTTTTAAACATAACGAAGCACTTTTCGCGTTTGATTTTGAAAATTTCACAAAATTAGTTTAAATACTAATAAATTTTCTTTGTCAGTAGCTCTTCTGGTTACTGTGTTAGGTTTTCTTTTTCAGCACCCCTTACTATTGCGTTTGTTACTGAAAATACTGCTAAAATGTGTATAAATGTTTTATTAGCTAATATATTTATATTTATATATTTTACATAACGAGTAAATAAAAGTTGAAAGATAAATCATGTGGCTCGAATCTTCTTTCATCTTTGTAAATTTTTAATTGTTTATTTATTCAATCCAATTTGAATCCAATTACTAAAAACTCTTGCTTTTAGTTTTCATAATTTCTAGTCAGAAAATGATTTAATTCAGTCAATAAAGTATAATTATGAAGTAATATCTTGACAGCAACTTGATTCTTTTTTTTGTGCATAATATGTCTTTATTGCAGGTCCTTTTATTTTGTCTTTTTTTAAAAATTATAATAGTAATCCAATACATAAGTTTGTTTCAGATTTATTTATTTATTTCAGAAAAATTATTTATTTACTTAATTACAGAAAATGTACACTAAAGGTTTAAAAAGATGGAATATGAATTAAAGAAAGTGACAAAGAAGAAAAAATTATCACAACAAAATAATATTTCATCTAACTGCAAGTAATAGATTTATTTTATTAGATTTATTATAGTTAAGTTAGATTTTACTAATCTTTTTCAGTTTCTTAGATTTATTTCAGGTATAGATTATGGAGCCAACAAAGGAAGAGTTCATATAATACAACAGATTGAGAAGTCATCATTAATTATATTTATGTATTTATGTGAATAGAATTAATAAAAATTACTAAATTTGTGAAAATGTTAGGCTAAATTAGATTTGATTAAACTGTAGATAGATAGTTTTGAGTTAGATATTGTGTTGTGATAGTTTTAATTTGCTTATTAGATTTAAAGTTAAGCATTATGGTAATTCTAAGTTGATATTTGGATATGTAAGATGCGTTAGTATCTAAGTGCATATATGATCAAGAGTAGTTAATATAATCAATTTAAGTGGGATAAATAAAATTAATAAATAGAGCGGTACAAAATAATGTTCGCTTCAAATGTTAATTAAAAGTATAAATATAAAGAATCAGAATGATCTTTTTTAAACTACGATTTATGAATTAAATTATTTATAAAATAATCGTACAATGTTATTAAGAATAGATTTCAATATTGAGATCGAGTGTAATTGATATTAAAGAAAATTAATAATCAATAACGAGTTCGCTTTTTGGCAAGTATCAGTAATTTATCGATAGGTGGCACCACTATGTCCGAAACAGAACGTTTTATATTATATTAATTAATAAATCATTTAGGAAATTGACAAAGAAATTTTCTGAATTTTTAATTTAATTGCTGAATATTTTTAAAACTTGATTTATCTAAATGTCTAGACTGATAAATTGGTTATATTACTATATGATCATAGCGTTAAAAAATTTTTTTTTTCATTTATGAAAGTAATTTTGCATAATATCAAGAACAAAAAAAATTTATTGAACGTGTTAAAAAACTACATTTCGTTATTGCCGGGATTCTCTATTCTCATCGTTGTTTTAAACGTATGAAACAACAGTATTTATTATTTAAACACAAAACTTGATATGATCAAGATACGAGGGAAACTATACTTAACTCTATCTAAACACGGTTGTTAATGTGAAATTATGTGAAAATAAAAATACATATAGTGCGTCAATCGGCTATGCAAGAGAGAAATGATTTCACATATGATGACGCATACGTATACATCTTTTTAAATAAAGATTATGTGAAAATACGCTCATCTCACTGAAATATAATTGTACTCTAAATGGAAAATCAAATATGAGGAAGGCTTCTACTGGTGGCTTGCAATCCTATAGATAAGAAATTCATGCAAAACATGGAAGGTTATTCTTGTTACCATGTATTTTATC